CCCCCACCCCCCCACCCACACCCACCCCCCCCCGCCAACACCCCCACCCACACCCACACCCACACCCACACCCTCAATCGATTTAGATACGTTGATGTCTAATCATAGATTTTTCTGTTCTAGAATTTTTTGCTGCCTAATTCGAAACGTAAGCGTAAGTAAGAATGCCTGTTCTGTTTACATGGCTTTAAGAAAAATTGACCATCGGATGATGTTGATGTTCAAGCATCGTCAATCTGCGAGAACACAATAGTTTACACATCGAACAACTCTTATATGTACAATTGTTGTTCGATGAGAAAACACCCGCATCTACGATACTTATTTTTGTTTTGGGCTTTTACTTGATGTTCAATTAGGTGATAAGTTTCTTATAATTTCATTTACTTTGAAGAGACATTTTCAAAACCCATTCCGTTAATTATGTGGAAAGTCAATGCCTCGAACCGTATTCCTTACTCGAGATAATGTGAGAAGACAACATTTTTTTAAAACACTGATTCGTTGTATCTTTTTACTTAAAACATACTCACAGGCTTTCATTAAGACGTCGTGGCAGAAATGCAAAGAGGGCAAAAATCTCATTCTAAAAATCGCCATACGCCTCGAGTCTTTGAATGAATTGTGATATTTATACCAAAAAATCGAGTAACTACACAGGCGAGAACTGTCGACAAAAGAGAAAAATTCTTCAAAAAGTGATCATATAATCTGAGAATTTCTCCAATGTGCTCAGTGCGTCTGAGCAATAACAGTGATTTTAAGCAAATAATTCAAATTATCAATAATCATGCTCACTTTGAAGGCAATAATCAACAATATCCTACCTTTATTTACTCGACAGTTGATTTCATTGGTCGACCTCTAAAAGTATGAGATATTTGATGAAAATACATTTTCTCGAATGATTATCGTCTGACCTGTGCAGTAATAGAGCTGGGTCCAGTGTGCATGATACTGGTGGCGCCTACTACAGCTGCATCGTTCTATGAAGAAAAGAAAATAGCTATGAGAGAAGGATAGAGCACTAACGAATTCTTTGAATTACTCGACCACTGTTGGAGCTTATTCTTCTTCTTGTTTTTATGGCTGGTGCAGTCTTGGTCGAAGTATCTGCAATAGAAGACCATCATTCTTTTTATAATAGCCTTATTGTGTCATTTTCGATATATTTCAACATTGTTTTCCCTGTTTGATAGTGTTTAGTGATTTTTATCACGGAAATCAGTTTTTATCAGTTCATCATGCAGGACTTTAATTTTAATCTTATTACTGGAAATCTTCTATGATTTAGAGTGATTTTTCATTCATTTCTAATAGTTTATAATGGTTTCCTATAATATTGAAGCATTTTCAATCATTACTCGTATCCTTAAGGTATTGTCATGATTTTTGGTGCCTTCTAATGATGTCTAATGATTTCCAGAATAGAAATTAGTTTGTTTTCTCTTGATCTGATGTTTTTAATTTGATATTGAAATTCTAGTGCATAAGTGACGTAGATCAGAGAAATACATGTTTCCTTTGTAGTGATGTAGAGTCTTCTGACATCGTTTTGCGTCTTTTTGTGGAACTCACATATATTTTCGAACAAAATAGTGAGTGTAAATTTTAAGTCGAAGTTTGGCGGCTCCCCATCCCCCATCTCCATTACAGACACTTAGCAACCAGAGGCCCCCTTACAGACAAGCCCCATTACAGACACCTCCCCATTACAGATATCTTCTCATTGCAGACACCTCCCCATTACAAACACCTCCCCTTTACAGACCTCAGCAACCGCACGCAACTGGCTTCAGATTTGTTTATTAATAAAAAAAAAAGGAGTTGAACAGTATAAAGAATATGAGCTCGACTGTTATACAATATTTCAACGCCTTCATTAATATTTGGAAAAGTATAACATATCTATTAAAGTTCTTAATAGTAAACTCGTCAACTTTTTTAGAATTTAAATTTGTACTTTAAAAATGAAAAATGAAGAGTAGTAATGGAGTGGTTTGTCATAGCAATCATATAATCAATATGAAAAATATGATTCGATCTTTTTATAATTTTAAAAAATAAACGATATTATCATGTATGAGTTGATTCGGATATATATAGTAGTACGGTAAGATCAGCTGATAGATACATAATGCATTGTTATAATAGTCTGATTTATGAGATAGCCAATGATGAAGAAAAATAATAACGTCAAATTAAAACAAAAACAAAAAAGACGAAAGATAATGAGCGAATAGCAACAATGCAAAATCAAAATAGGGCACCTGTGGAAAAAAATTTCTGTTCGAAATGCAGAGATTAGAAAAGTTCTTACTCTGATTTTCGATTATCCTACAAAAACAGCTATGGTCTATGAGAGGTTTGTCATTTTACATATTTTATATTAGTTTAATGAGGCTATACAGTATAAGCGAGTTCCATATTTCAGCTCCAAAAGGGTTGCCTTAACAAGCTTTTCCAAATCAGTTTAGCTTATTTATTCTTATATTCTATGTCACATCCTTTTGATCTCAAGTTAGCTTTAGTTACAGATGATGACTTGAGTGCTTTACTTGAGTGAAATGTTTCTTGAATTAATATTGACTACAAAAAGAAACCGCCAGTTTATCGGCACTATCAATTGTAATATAGTTTTCGCTGTTGTAAGATCAAACATGTATCCCCTCTTCTGTGTGAAAATTCATATATATCCACTATTTTAGTGATCGTTCTCTAAGACTTCTAATCTAATTTTCTTGTATCACTGATTTATGGAAGCAATATAGAATCTAACACGTATGGGCAAAGTATCTGATTTCTAGGATCTCTTAGATATATATCCTGATGTAAGAGGTGAATGCAAGTATAGAATCCCTTTCTAACTTATCAACTATTCGAACTTTCGAATCATCAGCATTAAGAATAATCAACTGCTGTGCTGCTTAACAGATTTCCACATCACTCACATCCATACCTTGTCGAAAGACGACGAATAGCCTTTATTGAAGGATATAGTAATTCATCAAATATGGGACTGAAATAAAGTACACAAGCCATCGTTCTAATTAACATTCAACTGAGACCAAACATATGTCTACTTTTGATTTCTCACTTAACCTTATCTTTGTAGCATAAAGCAATTACTTGAATAGAAAATGCAAGCAAATTCAGTTCGACAAAGACAAAACTTCATTATTCACAATCTAGAGTCGTAATTTAATCTGGTTAATCAAAAATTATTAGCGAAAGAAACCAGTAGTGTGAAAGTTGAAAGTTGAAATTAACTCAACGTTCAATTTTAAATTTTTTTAATCGCCTATATTTCTGTGGAATCGACATCGAGAGGAATGTGTGGAGTTGAAAGCCGAATTGAAACTTAAAATTTGAAGCTGGAAGTGAATTTAACTTTCAAGTCTGTGTACATGATCTGTATTTGTCGTCTTCTTCACACATGTCAAGATTTAAAAGCTGAAACTTGAAAAGTTAAAATGAAAGTATTGAATTATTCAAACTGTGAATTCAACTATATAGGTGTTTCACGAAAGTACCTTCACAGAGCATCCGCCTTGCTGAGCGAGCTACAAACTAGGGTTTCCGCGTGTGGACATGGCACTTTTGTTCCCCTACACCTACACCCATCTTCACAACAACACTCACAGAGCCACCTGCGCACGCAGGGTGTATGTCACTGACTGTGACGGGAACTCACGGTCTCTGTCGCGTCTGTGATGAGATCTCAGGATGTCTATCACGGGCGGTGAGCAGTGATGTGGGATGATTAAGTTTTGTCGCTATATCATTTCATCCTCCTTTCATTAATGAGTGAATAATCATTTTTGAAAGGTTAGGTAATTAGCGAATAATTAGCAATTTATCCAGTAATTGCCATCTGTAAATTAAATAGTAACTAAATAATTATTCAATGACACTTAAATAATAATTAAACTTTATTTAAAATGTTTGTCGCATTCTGTAGGGTAGAGTGCGTGGGGGCAGCGGGAGACGGTTCATATTTCCACTCTATATTTCAACACTCCTTTTCCATAGTGTCTCACAAAATTTTTTGCTATTTTTTTTTCAATCTTGATTTATACGCATTTGTTCCACTGGTTTCAATAGCTGAGATAGAAGCTAACGAACATTAACGAAGAATTTTCTATGGAAATAAACGGATAATACTAAGAACCTTTTCCATATAAACATATTTCACATGTGCGAGATGAATCATCGTTAAGAAATGTACATCGTGAACATTGCCATTGGAATGATTTAGATGCTAAATCACGTTGATCATCATAGCCCATATATGATAATCGATTATCTGCTGTTAGTGGAGTGAGACCTAAAACGAAAAAAGTAATAAATAAAGCTGTTAGCGCAAGCATTGAGACTAAAATGTGAAAAAACGATGTACCTGCTGTTGCTGATCATAGAGAGATTGTTTTTTTACCATATATTGGAGACAAATTTCTTCACCCTACTTTTACTGGATCTTCCAAAAATGCAAAAAAGAAGTAATTAGTATGTCGTTACAAGCCGTCATTAATAGACGATCTGTGATCACATATCAACAAATTATGTCATGTTTTGTAATGGTCTGTGACTAGCATGTATCATAGTCTGTAATGGATTGCTACTACGATCTGCTGCCATAGTGCCTGTCATGGTTTCTGGGGAAGGGCAATGGGATTGGAGTGGGTCCAAAATTTCTACCTTATATACTTCAAGACATCTTTTAGATCGCGTTTCACAAAAACAAAAGAGGTTTTCAGATCAACGGATTTTATACTGTTTAATGTCTGACAACTTGATATGATCTCTCTGGATTCTATGTCAAATCATGCTGAACTCTTTCTTTGCCAATGGTATCTATAGATATCATTCTTGATATATTTTTTCTGTAGAACTATAAGACTTAGAATAATTAATTCTGTATCAAATTAAAGTTTATCCATGATACATTCTAAATCAGCAATCCAGATATAACCTTTGTCGTAAAAACTTTGTTCAGCATTCAGATAGATACAGTATATTATAGGACGTACTAGATTAATCATGGGAAAGAAAAGATTAATTTCTTTAGCAGGATTTTTATCATAGTTCAATAGTAGAATGTTTGTTAGGTATTGTCCAGTTTTTCCGAGAGGTACTTTTTTTAAATCGAAAAATTCAAAAATAGAAGTCTTAGTTTCGTCAAGATTTGACAAGTTTAAGTTAAGGTCTTCTCTGAATCAAAAAAACTAAAATTCATAATAAAGTCTTAACTGAGAAATCCTAAAATAACTCTGTGCACATTCTTAAAACATAGCACATACTTTTTATGACAACGTTGAGGGTATATGGATGTATGAGTGTGTGTATTTTCTTTTTCCACCTTCACAAAGTATACAACATGACATGACACTGAATGAACAACAAATTATACGAAGCACAGTAAAACTATGTTATCAAGTAAAGTAAAGCTGCACAATTGAATGAATTTCTACTCATATTAATATGATATTCATACATTTGTCAATACGAACCCTTGAGGAGTTGAAGTATGGAATCCACAAACTCTGACTGTTATAAATTTATAATATGTTGCCAAAATTTTTTAAATAGTTTATTGAAAAAAATGTCAAATAAATAAATAAATCAAAATTATAACAAATTTCACTTGCAGAACTTGTATGTATTGCCAGATACATCGTTAATGCATAACTTGGGTGTGGGTGTGGGTGTGGGTGTGGATGTGGGTGATCAGAAGTTTGATGCGAACACGCACCCCACCCACACCCACACCAACATCCACACTTCAATTACTTTTAGATTGGCCGAAGGTTCAACAAACTAATTTCTCTGCTTTATGGTGAGTTCTAGTGGTTTTTATCATTGGAAATCAGTTTTTGTCAGTTCACTGTGCAGAATTTTTATTTTTATTTTATTATTGAAAATTTTCTATGATATAGAGTGATTACCATTCATTTCTAATTATTTCTTGTGGCTTATCATGGCTTCTGATGACTTCCTACAGTTTTCAACCATTATTCATATTGTTAAGGCACTATAATGAGTTGTGTTAACTTCCAGTGATTTCTAACGATTTCTAGGATAGGAATTAGTTTGTTTCCCTTTGATCTAATATTTTTAATTTGATATTGAAATTCTAATTTATAGGTTCCGTATATCAGAGATATACATGCTTCCTTGGTAGTGATTTACAGTCTTCTGCCATTGTCTTGTGTATTTTTCATATCGCTTTAGCTTGTTCATTTAAGCTGAAGATTTTCATTTAAAAAAGATGTTTTTCTCTAAGTACGCATTTCTCGATTAGTTTTTGTAGAACCTTCCTGTTAATATTCTGTATAGCATCCATTTGATCTCAAGTTCAGTTTTATTACAGATGATGACTTGAGCACTTTACTTGAGTGAACTATTTCTTGGATTAATACTGACTACAGGAAGAAACTACCAGTTTATCGGCACTATCAATTCTATTATAGTTTTCGCTGTCGTTAGATCAAAGATGTATCCCCTCTCTTGTGTGAAAATTTATATACATCGGCTAGTTTAGTGACCGTTCTCTAAGATTTATAATCTAGTTTTCTTGTATCACTGATTCATGTAAGCAGTATAGAATTTAACAGGTGTGACCGAAGTATCCGATCTGTAGGACTTATAGATTTATATACTGATGAAAAAAGTGAACGCAAGTATAGAATGCCTTTCTCAGTTATCAAATATTTGAACTTTCAAATATCGAACATTAGGAATAATCAACTACTGTGCTGCTTAACAGACCCACATTACCCACACTCACGCTTGAACAGGAAAAGTCCTTGGATCTTCAAAAGCGAGATATAACTAACAAATGGAGCATTCTATCAATCTATTCATGTCAACGTTAGTAAATAATTAGTTGGTATCGAAAGACCGAGAATCTTTATTGATTATTTGGCGACTAAACGATACAATATAAAACTCAATGACAAGAGAAAAAGATTTCGTCCAGAAGATCTATCCTCAAGCTACCTGTATTGGACAAATTTTTTAAAATTTTTATTAGTTTTAAACTAAATGAAGTCGTATTTTTCTATTTATTTTCTGATACTTAATCAGAATCGATGAGTTTTAGATGGTTTCGGAAATAAAAATAAGAGCAACTACAGAAGTTTCGTCACACAAAAAGTGACTGTTGATCATATACTGGATCTTATCTATAATTTGACCTTTTAAAAAACATATCAGTAAAAAATAGAAGACAATCGAAATTTTGTATTTTCTGAAGTTTACTTTGATTTGGATCAATTTACAGACGAAAACATAAGGTTATTAGCCTGCTTATAGGAACAAAAGCGCATGAAATTTTTATTAATAATTCGAATCAATTATCTCATAGAGAAAAGACAAAAACAATCAATCGCAATTAAACCTTCAGCTTCTCCTCCCTTCAAATGTCTTGAGTGATCAATATCTATTTTTAACTTCTCACTTACCCTCATTTTTTGTATCGTAAAGCGATTGTTTCAGTAGAAAAAAAGAAACAAATTCAGTTCAGCAGAGACAGAATTGTATTATTCACAATCTAGAGTCATGCTTTAATCTGGTTCATTGAAAATGTATTAGAGGAAGAAATCAGTAGCATGAAACTTGAACGTTAAAATCAATTCAACTTTCAATTTTGCAATCGTCTATATTTCTGTGACACTTCGAGAGATATGTGAATGTGGTTGAAAGTTGAATTGAATTTAACTTTCAAGTTTGTATACATGATCTGTGTTTATCATCTTCTTCAAATATGCCAAGACTTAAAATCTAAAACTTGAAAAATTAAAATTCAAGTATTGAAATATATAAACAGTCGATTCAACTATATAAGTGTTTCATGAAAGTACCTTCATAGAGCATCTGCCTTACTGCGCGGGCGACAAAGTCTTAACAGGAAAGAAAAGCAGTGCTGATTAGTTGAACACCTGAACAATAAAGCAATGACTAAATTCAGTTTTCAAGTTTGATACTACTAATCTATCTCGTTTATTGTTCTTATTCAAACATTTTGATACATCTAATGTAATCGAATGTTAGGAAATGGTCTGTCTAGTTCTTCTAATTTTGCGTGCTTAGTAACAATTCATCTCGCTTCATCAAAGTAGATCAGCAAAAAAATGAAATTACTTTGCTTTTTAATACATTCTTCAATGATTTCAATCAGTTGAGAGGAATTCGGGCGATCGTTGAGATCGTTGGTCCAACACTTCTCGATTAGTGCAGAAAAACTTGATGGTGTGGCCTCGGGTATCTCCAAGCGGTCGCCACGACGCACGAAGTCAGAAATTACATCACCTTGATATCCATCATAAGGTATCTCATTTGCAGCTAGTTCCCAATATACCATTCCTAAACTATAAATATCGCTTTTATCTGTGTACTTTTTCATACGCAGTATTTCAGGAGCAGTCCACTGCAATGTACAATGCAACGCATGAGTCAATAGAGATTGCCGTGTTGTTTCATTTCGCGTTTGAGCTAAACCAAAATCACATACTTTCACAATGTACCCATCATAAGATCTCTCTATCAAAAAATTCAACGACTTGATATCACAGTGTAAGATGGGCGGTTGTAGTTTATGCAGATAATTGATGCCTTTGGCTGTTTGTAAAGCGATGGATAATCTTTGAGACCAATCTAATGGCAGTTTATCTGTATGCAGAATCTTGTATAACGATCCTAATGACATGTATTCCATTACTAGTGCATACTTTCCATGTTCTGTACATGCACCATAAAAAGTGATAATGTGAGGATAACGAATACTATGCATCAACGAAAGTTCATTGAAGAAATCTTTTTCGACTTGTTTGTCCAACTGAGTAAGATGCAATCTTTTGACAGCAACTGTGTGGTGTCGACTCAACCATTGAGCTTGATAAACTGTTCCAAACGCTCCACGACCAATTTCCTCATCCAATTTTAGATCCTGGTCCGATATTTGTATCAAATCTTGTGGCTGTTCTAGAGTACAAAAATATATACGACGATCTGTCAATGTCAATAGGTGAGCTGATCTTGAATAAGAATATTGTCTTTATTAGACAGTATTATGCGAGAACGTAGTAGTTCCAGCATGGTTCACAATTTGAATAGTCTTGTTAAGAAATCGTAGAAAATCTAAACTCTTCTCTTTAATTATGCTTTCAACGCTAGAAAAAAACTTTTGTGACAATGGATCATTCAAAGAACAGTGTGTGCAACTCTAAGAGAATCGACAAATTTATTCTAACACCGTAGGATGCTCGATGTGCAGTCAGAAGATTCACATACATACATATTTATTGTATAGTGCTGAGGAAGTCCATTAGTGTCCACTTAGCTGATTTCTCTGAACGCCTACAACAAGGAAAAATGACTTTAGAGGCAATCCATTCTTTACTATACCTGAAAACAAAACTTTTATGACTTTAGTTTTTTTTCATCGTTCGCGCCCCCGTGCAGTGGTCTCTGCTAAATGCCTGACGAGAAAGAAATCACTACTACTCATTCAACAAATCCGAAAGTCTATTTAAAGCAATGGTAATATGTCGGAAATCAATTGCAATCCGGATCGTACTTGCAACCAGTAAGAATTTTTTTCCGACTGGATCGGAGTGGCCGGTTAGAATTCTTGATTAACCAGCGAAAAACCGATTCATTTATTATATCAATAAATAAATCAGTTCTTTCGAGAAACAGTCTATTACTTCAGTTTTACGAAAACATACAATGTAAAACTCATATAACTCTTGAACTTTTAATAGTAACATGTCCTATTTTAGTCTGTCACGTTTCATACGTGTTAACATTAATAATGAACAAAGATTTCTTTCAAATAAATTAGTTTGATCTATTATTATTAGATGTAATTATTTAACAAAGCTGAAAGGTATCTCAATTCCTAAAAGTATGTTATTGACAACAGAAAGATAGAGTAAGTTGAAACGTAGGTTTTTTTCACTAGACTTTCTAGTTTAAGATTTATTAATATTTCAATATTTTCATAGTTATATGACGCTAGTAGTTGTCAAAATCTTGACAACAGAGCAGAATCTATTCTAATATTTTGTAATGACATCATGAACTGAAAACCACTAGCTATTGAGCTTTTGTGAAAGTCGGTTAAAAAGAGTTTAGAATAACGAGCTCAAAATTTTGAGGTGAAAAATCGTTAGTTTAGACCAGAATTAACATCTAATATGTGACTAATTTTTTTTGAGCATAATTTTATTCAGCATGATCAACGACTATCATCCTACGATGAGAAAGTGTTACCTCACTATTCAGAGCTGGGATTTTGACAACAGTTGAAAATTTGTCAGTTAGAGACCGCTAGGTTCTTATCTTTTGATCACTAAAACTATAAAAATCGTTAAAAACGAGCGAAACAGGTCAGCTTTACTTCCCGAAAAAGTCAATAAAAAATTGGTGAAAAACGGTTGGCTTTAGAATTTCAAGTAGACCAGGTCCTTAACTAGTCAATCTGGTTCCAAGTATGATCCGGTGAGATACAGAATATTGTATTTTGCAGTGTTTTGTGTTTTTCTCGAAATCAACTTTTTAACGGAAGAAGAATTATCAGACCCAAAGTTAAAAAAAGTCAACTCATTCATTTGGAGATTGATTCGTTTGGTAGTATTCTTAGGGATGCATCAGATTTCCGAGTGATTGTTCTAAATTCAACATCTTCGCGAGTCAATTAACGATAATGCTCAAACGTCTGTCGTAGTTGGATTCTAATGTCTGCTCTATCTAATAGACATTTCAGTTCGAACAAATATTATATAGTTGAGATACAAAAAACCTACTATCAATAATTATATTTGAGGCGTGATTTAAAAATGCGACATGGTTTGTTCAGAAGACTATGCGGACATATCTTTTTAAGGTTAGCCTATGCCAGTGATCCTCTATATGTGCCCAAAATATGAGCTTCGAAGTGATAGAACACACGGGAAGTTTTCTTCGTAATTAAGAGCTAGCAACACCAGGCTACGAAAATCGCAAGCATTATAAAGATTGAGACTAGAGCTGCACCATAGTTCTCTGTTTATTTCGGTAATGTTATTTATAATAATTGGCGCACGTTACGCCAAGAAACAATTCAAATGCTAAAAATGCCATATTGGCCATTTTCTAAATGTTTAGAAACAAAGACACTTCACTTGCACAATTGTTATAGCGCTTTTTTGATTCATTTAAACAAGAGCACTAGATATTTACTAGGATATTTACCTAGTTTACGTGGTCGATCTCTTTGTTGACTACATAAATATATATTCTTCTTTGACAATGAAACACTCAGAAATGGAATTTGTTTTGATTTCGATTCTTCTATTACTCCATCGGTAACATCACGTAATATCATTTGGATGTCTTCATTCTCAGTTTTAATGTGTTTTAAAAGATGCTTTGTAAATAAACCATTTCTCTGTCCTTTTCCTTCAATGGCAATAGTTCCCGGCGCACAAGCAAATGCAATCAATGAACCAGCCTTGTGCATGGCTTTGAGGCCGACTGATTTTGCACCACTTGCATCTGGATCACGTGCATCTACTTCAGGATTACGTAAATGATACTTTCTACAACAATCCAATAGAAATATTGTTACGTATGGTTTACGATCACTTAAAGTGTTAAGAATATCTTGTGCATTGATTGCACTCTTGTTTAAATCTGCGCCATTCAAAGTTGGAGTGTCTTTTGGTATCAAATAATTTTGATCCTAAAAGTACCATAAATAAAACGCTCATAGAAAATTGGAATCACTTTTAATGGTAAAAACTGAATACATACTTCCCATTGTACCCCATGTCCAGCAAAATAAAATAGGATCATATCGTCGGGCTCTATTGATTCTTCGAAATCGATAACAACATGTTTCATTTCAGCACGTTTTAGATCTAGTTTCTTTGTAACAATGAAACCAATACTTTGCAGAGCAGAAGACATATCATTCGCATCATTTTCTGTATTTTCTAATTCCTCACTATGTTCATATTTTCCAATGCCAATTACAAGTGCCAACTTACGCCGTGGTTGAAATGCAGTGCTATCGGTCTTTTGAGTCTCCATTAATAAAAAAAAGAAAGCTTAATCTGAAAAGAATTGGTCTGCTATCGTGCAATACATCAAAATACGAAACTAGACACAGACAGAACGACATACACTTCAACTGGCTCTTCAAGCAAGCGTTCTATGAATGACACGGTGGGTTTCCGCGTCAGTCATGATTGATATCGAGATAAGGTTTAACTATGAGGCAATTTATCTGGATACTCTATCAAGTGTTTCATGCTGAGCTTAGTTAGTGCAGCCAGTTTTGCTACATTTCAACTTCTAGAGTAACATGGAGTTAAAAGAGGTCTTTTTGCTCCGATGTTTGTGGGTTCTATGAATACCAAGAAGGAATAATAGAAATATATTCTAGAGAGGTCACGCAATCAGTGTGAAAATTTCATCGTCAAAGTATTTTTGGAAAGACAAAAGAATATCCGACCTTTCGATTAACCAGCGGTGTAGGATACTGCTTCGAGACATTTTCATTAGTCTGATATAGTAACTAAAACTAATAATAGCTGTAGCTTAGGACAAGAAGCCAGTGTGTCTTAGAGTTCTTTCGTTCAATCACTTGAGCTGCTCGTACACACTGATGAACGATATACCAGCCTCGACGAAGGGTGTATGTCAAATCCTAGCCAACAGATTAGTGGGGTATGACCCGAGACTAAAAATTTTTAATATTTGTGAGCAATTCGTTAACGACTGATAACGATGAAATCTGAACACAGTACTTTACGAATGTATGTTGGACAGCTTGATGCCTCAGCGTTTGCAAAGACAGTTTTTTGCAGTTTGGATCGTCATAAGTGGTAAACTAAATGATAGGGATTGATGCGACAAGTTTCAAATTCTAATAGTAGCTGAAGGGTAGCAGAGTCAATACTGCATCATACGACAGAGCAGCATAGTTTGCCTCAATTGTAAGATCTGTAATTGAACCCAGATACAGTTTTTGTCCAATGAACTTTTTTCAGATTAGTCATATTACAGGATAGAAGATATTTGGATTTTCTCCAAAGTTTCATCCTCTCTCTATGAAGGCAAGGTGGAACTCTGAGGGGTCGAAAAATCAAGAAATTGATTGCCCATTCATTCAGGATCACAGTCTAGTCATGCACTTGAACGAAAGACTCGACTGTCCTGAAAAATTTCTTTTTATTAGCAAGGTATCTGCATCGAACTTCACGTGTATTGTTGAAATCTCGTGTTCATCTTTCGATATTCTGTTCGGTTCCAGTTGTCACACCAGTACTTCGAGAGAGTTGGAACTAGAACTCCACCGGACATGTGCTGCGCCATTCCACACTATAACGCATAGCGCATTCCTATGCGACGTCGCCTAAACTTGCACTTACTGCACACTATTCCATCTGATTGTTTAATGCGTCCTGGAAGAACATTGAGCAAATAAGTTAATGCTTGCAAAACGTTTCCACTTACGAGGGAAGGTTCCCAAATGATCCATCGCTTTTAAGTCGAGACTATATGCATCATGTAGGCCCTAATGAGCTATGAATATCCTGAAAAGACTTCGGACCCATAGCTTATTGCTGCCAAGATATCGCATTTTTACGGTGCTTCTAAGCACAGTGCCGTGGTCCCCTTAGAAACGTCAGAATTAAGTTTGAAATTTCGACTTACAGCTTTGTATAGTGACAGTCCTTACCGAAAATAGTTTATTATGGAAGTTTCAGATCTTCTAATCACTCCTATGCTGAAATAAGAACTCGGGATCTGTCGCTGTGTATGAGCGCTGTACAAGCATGCTTTTACTATAACTGTTTCTTAGAATAGGAACAACCAAGTGATCTGAAGCTTTCATAATTAACTATCCTCGCTAAGAGCTGTCACTATTCAAAGTTGCAAGTCGAAATTTCAAACTTAGTTCTGATGTTTCTAAGGGGACCACGGCACTGTGCTTAGAAGCACCGTAAAAATGCGATATCTCGGCAGCAATAAGCTATGGGCCCGAAGTCTTTTCAGGGTATTCATAGCTCATTAGGGCCTACATGATGCGCATAGTCTCGACTTAAAAGCGATAGATCATTTGGGAACCTTCCATCGTTAGCGAAAACGAAAATGGCACACGTTGCGCGTTATTGCGAGTATTAACACAAGACTGTCCTGTGGAGCTGTGACTGGAGCTAATGATCAGCTTCTTACTAAAGTTCTGAATAGCTCATAAACCTAAACTATTTTATTCGAAACCTCGTTGTTCTAAGGGTGTGGATGAAGAGAAGATCCTCACATCCACTGCATCTACGTTCACACCCTAGTCTTTATTGTTTTTCAATCGCAATATTTGTGCAGTACTTAGACGCTTGGCACGAAAGACTCTTCCAAGAATTCAGTGACAAAAAAGTATTTCACTTACTCTTACTAATCGTCGGATTCCTTCACAGGTTTTACGATCACATCTGGACGCTGCGCAGTTCTGAGAAGTTTTTCGCTTCGTCTTTGTGATGTGTTGTTTTGGATAATACTTCTGTCATAAGTCTAAATAATCGCCATCTGAAGTTGTAGTTTTCACTACGGTTGATGCACATCACCCAATGAACCGACGCTTTCGCAATAGTATAATGTGAAATATTCTGTGATTAGGTCTTTGTCTAAGGTATTCTCATGTGAGTTGATATCTTTTCTCATGCTGTCGGATATTGGTAAGTGTTCCGAAGGTCTTCTGATTAGCTGTTGCGAAATTGAAGTGATAAGACTTTTGGCGTTTACTTTGATGGATCATTCTGCCACCTGAATGTTATTCTTATCAGTTGTTACCTTTGTGAGATTGTATGTAGTACTTCCTGGTGACTGTTGCCCTTTGGTGTATGATACTAATGAGGGAGGTACTCGAAGTGATTAAGCACTTTAAAGGCCATACTTTGAGCACATAGAGAGGACCTCTAGACTAGGATAATCCTAAAAGGATTTGGATCCATGGCCCTTATGAGCTTAGATATTGAATTTTAAAGTTTCAGCAGGTAAGAAGGATTTTGATCCTCTATTGCGGATATTTCGAAAACAAAAATGTTCTGTTAGCTAGAAATTTCATGATAAACTCACTGTTTCATCAGCAAATTACTGTGAGATTTTCAGATTTTATCTCATTTCTATAAGCTACAGCCGTTTTTGAGAATATTAGAACGAACTAATTAAAGTTTTATAGATATCACTTTTTAAAGAATTATAGCGTCACACTGAAAGACAGCAGACTTTTAATTATGATAGTGATAAGCTTCAAAAAAATGCTCAAAGCAGAGTTGCTTGCGATAATGACTACATTGAATAAAGCATAAAGAGTGATAGTTCGACTGTTGACAAACATCAGCATCACCATTGAAGCAAACTTCATTGACAGACTCAAAATCTCCTAGATGCCAGCCGATATACCTTGATACAAACCATGCATACTTGATCATAGATATAAATTGAGGCGATGACAACTGACTGTGAATAAGAGAATTCAACTGTATTATATTGTTTCGTTCAGATAGGTTCATAGCGATATCGTCAAGTTGAACGTGATCGAATATACGCCGAGCGAATAACTTCCATTATCTATTGAAATAGATGTCAAGTGGTTGAACGCGTGACGTAGTGTGAGCTGGTATTTCTAGTCTTTTGCTTCCTTGAACAGAGGAGTATATCTTTGAATCTCGTTGACCAGGCCAATAGTTCGAGATCAAAAGAGATTTCGATGGAACAAATGGGCGGAGAACATGACCTCGCCAGTATTCGACCAATGAGGAAGTGAGCTTCCCTGAAGAACTTCATGTCACAACGACGGTCGAAGTAGCAAACAACTTCTTTTTAATGTCTAGCAAAAAAGATGTTCTTATGTCATACAAGAGAAAAGTAGCACGTTAACTCAGTGTCGCTGATTTTTCTCTTTGTTTCTTTTAGGCAAAGGAAGGCAGGATCGGCAAGTTGACTAGCAAAGGATATCATCGGTTGAATAGTGTAGGAATGTGTTGTGACATTTTTTGATCTCAAAGGAACTAAAGTAACATGTTCACCTTCATGCGAGAGAGCTCTAGTCGAGTGAAGCTCTAATTCGAGGCCAACCTGATCAGTATTGAGGATTTTTTCAAGTTTATAATGACTTTTTTGTCGTTTTACATGGACTACAAAGGAATCGGCGGACACATTAATAGCATCGGTATCATCCACATGATGGCGAGTCACTAGTTTCGTAATTTTTCTCGAACAAATGCGATGATGATGTTTAAAGACTTGCAATCAGTGTTTCAATGCTTTGAAGTTGAGAATCGACTCTTCAGCAGCTTTCTACAAGGCCCATCGCTTCAAATCGCGATTGTGGATACAGAGAACACGTTCTCGAGCTTCTTCAAATTGGTCATAGACGAAATCGTCTATTATCCGCATTTTATCTCGTTTTGTACCATTTTGCTCGATGTAGGGATGAAAGCGAGCAATATGCTGTTGATGGGGGATGCTTTTGAATCGATGCGCTGTGGATTTCCATATGTATCTCTTTCTTCCAGTCGAGTCGCAGGCATTATAGTAATTGATAACTTTTCTCATGTAATCTAGAGTGAAGTTCATTGTAATCGGTGGGCTCTCAACATCTTCGGCTTCATCAAAATATGGATCAATTCTTTCATCTTCAGAATCATTGAACGCACTGTCATCATCGTGATCGAGTGTTGTTTCAGATTCAACTTCAAATAAAGTGCACTTTTGGACGTTTTCGATTACTTCGAGCAAAGAGCGTACAATTTCTTCTTCGAATAGACTTGCTCTTGATCGTCGACGATTTGGTTCTTGACGTTCAGTAACTCAATCCAATAAAAGTTTCACGATTTTTTCAGCATCACTCATATTTTCGTTACACAAAAGTGTAAAGAACGTGTTATTTGATGAAGAATGCTTCGCTCGATTAACAGAATCACATAATAGCGCGCATCCTTTATATCGCATCATTCGTTATCATCACTCTAAAAAGAACGCAAAAGAATGCTTATAATATGCATCTCCTGTTCGTCATTTGTGGGCCACTACCTCTATAATGATGGTTGATATGTTAGAAAAAACCACTGTGGCTGATAGAAATAAGATAAAATCTGAAAATCTCACAGTAATTTGCTGATGAAACAGTGAGTTTATCATGCAATTTCTAGCTAACAGAACATTTTTGTTTTCGAAATATCCGCAATAGAGAATCAAAATCCTTCTTACCTGCTGAAACTTGAAAATTCAATGTCCCAGCTCATAAGGGCCATGGATCCAAATCCTTTTAGGATTATCCTAGTCTAGAGGTCCCCTCTATGTGCTCAAAGTATGGGCTCTAAAGTGGTTTATGATTTCGGGTACCTTCCTCGTAAGCTTTTCCTGTTGCCGTTTGCGGAGCGATTCGTGACTTGATGCTTATCGTCCATAGTTTCAGAAGTTTCTGTGTTGCCTAATTGCTTTTTCTTTTCTTCTTACAAATTCGGTACTCTAACAAAACTTTTTCCGGTTGGTGTATTGAATCGCTTTGAAATATGAAGGTTTTTAATAGTCTTGTCTGGAGCTCGGGGGTTCTATTGCAGATTTGACCTTCACTATGGCACATCTTTTGTGATCTCAAGGCGTTTGTCTTCACTCTCACACATTTTTGCGTGTACAAAAAATCTTCGCTCCGCCGTTCTTCTCAGAAGTTACATGATGAGGTGAGCTTTTTTTGCTTCTCCCATACATTTCTTTATGATCTAAAGACTTTCGATCCTCATTCTTTCGCATTAGTTAAGAAGCCAAACCATTGCACATTCACTTTGATGCTTTTATTATTGGACAGACTTCTCATGTTCTAATTATGATGTATTCACATCTGGCAGGAAACTATACTCGTCTTTTTGATACATCTATGTGTGTCTCGGCACTTCCGTCTTCCTTTTAACCATTATTTTGCAGTAGGAATCTGTTTCAGCTTATGCTGGGGCATTGCTGTGTGACACTCATCATTGCTACTGACGCTGACACTTTGCTGTCAGATTCACATATTTTTGCTCTCTACCTGTCATCATGATATGTTACCTAAAAGTATTTGCTCAGATTCTTGCGCCTGGCTTTATAACTCATCCCGTTTTCTTTCATCTCGATACCTTGCTGTGAAGTCCGAAGCTCTCCGCCTTCACTCTTATACATTGTTCTGTGGTCAGAAGCTTTTTACTTCACTCTGACGCAATGTTTCTTCGTAGAAAATTATTTGTCGTTACTTTTACTTATGCGTGTTTAATTCGAAAGTTATCGTCCTAGTTTTCCTTTATGTTCTATGACCAGATTTATCGTTCGGTCATGCTGAGACATAGTTCTTTGGCTCGTCGATTTTTCCCCATTTTGACGTAATGATGGTGGGAAGAAGGTATTCGTCCACAGTTGCAGTCATATTTTGACAGTGTCATCATACTATGTTTATACCTTTTCTCATGAAATTCTCATCCATTTTATCCTAATAGTTCGATTCTAGTTTCTAAACAAAAGAAAAGTGATGAATAGAATGCGATAAAAAGGAATCAAACTATTTATGAGAAATAGAGACAACATCATAGAATGGAATATTATAAAATTATTAAACTTCTGTATGTAGGATGCAACAAGGTCAATTCCCTAGGCCGCTGATCAACGAACAACGATCAATCGATCAAGTGAACGAAAGTTGGTCATGATTATCAACTTCATATGAGTCGAAATCCTTTCTTACCAGTTTTTTGATCATATATTACCTCTGCTTATGACGTGTAAAATACTCTTTCTAGTCTTAGAAATCCTCCTGATAAGTTACTCATTACAATCAAGTAATCAAAAGCAATTATACCGAGTAGAATTTCAGTTGTTGTATTTTTCAACTTCGTTGAGGATTGCGTATGAAAGAGAGACCTGTTGTGTGTCGAATGATTCGTTTGTTATTATTGCATCATGGCAACATTTTACGCTGTATTTCTGTCTGTTTTTGCCTCCTTTTTTTTTCGTTTTTCTTTTTGAATTCTTTTCAGCTACATACTTTATTGAGAAGGAGCACACATAACAACAGTAAAACATTCAAGGTAAAGAACGCAAAACGATTGATTATAAACAAGAAAAAAAATCATATTTAAAATAAGAAATTTAGTTTGTAGGAACCATAAATAGCTATTTCTATTGCTATATGATATGCAGGAGTTGGTATCGTTGAAAAATATATAATAGTTGACAGACTTTGACTTTATTGAGTATCTATGAGAAGATCTGATTATAGAGTGTTTGTAGAACATGATTTTTGTGTACTCAAAAAGTGAGTACACTCTAGAATCGGTCAGTATGTCCGTCAGGCCGTCCGGCCGTTTACACGATAACTTTCGAAAGGAGAGTCAGATTATGATGAAATTTTCTACAGTTTAGTCTCATAAATGTTTCGGTCGAGTTCAAAGATGAGCCTGATTGGAGGAGCTCTTCCTGAGTTATTGCAAAAATACTGATTTTTCCCTATGGTCTCTTATGCGAAAATCGACCTAAACCTGCTTTCATAAAAAACTTTTCCTATCATAGTCAAAATAAAACCCCAACTATTATATACCATTTGATAGAGAATTTCACGAGCTACAAAATGGTATGTAAAGCATTAAAAATTTGAGCTAAAACTTTTGGGCCAAGGAAAGGGTTTTTTAAGCAAATAACGATATTTTATAAAGGTTGCCGAAAGCAAATCGAGGTTGGTGAATCCGAATCTAAAGTCAGATTTTGAAAATTCTGAACAAAAGTTGTTGGGTTAAGGAATCGTTTCTTCACTTTTTTATCTCATAACTTACTCACTTGGGTGTAGTGAATTTATAGATTAAACTGTTTTCTGTCCAATTGAGACTTACTTTAGCTCAAAGGACCAAACCGTTCACGAAACAAGGTTAAAATGCCGAGCATACACTCAAGATAGTTAATTTTTGTGTACTCAAAAAGTGAGTACACTCTAGAATCGGTCAGTATGTCCGTCCGGCCGTATACACGATAACTTTCGAAAGGAGAGTCAGATCATGATGAAATTTTCTACACAGTTCAGTCTTAATAATGTCTCGGGCGAGTTCGAAGATGAGAAGGATCCGTCAAGAAATGGCTGAGTTATCGAAAAAATTGTCATTATTGACCAGACCATCCCTGAGGGGGGGGGGACATATATAAATCAACTCAGTTTTTAATGCTGATTCCGAATCTGATATTAGTTTTGAACCAAATCGTAGCTTTCTAACAAAGCATCGCCTGAAAAAGGTCTCAAAATGCATAAAAACTGCATGGAGAAATCAAATAGGCTAGATATATCACAGATGATAAAAAACAAAATGAATATACCTGTTCACTTTTTGAAGTACACATAACACTCGGATTTAAATCCGAGGTTTTCGCATTTATTATATAATTGATTGAAAATTACGTGACATATCGATATACATGAATCTAAAAATAAAGTATAAATTATATTTTTATTTACTAAACAGATGCGAACTTATCGTATAAATCTATATGAATGAATCTAATAATTAAAAATAGAATATTATTTTCAATTAGAAGTTGGAACAAACTCGTCAGATATTTTGAGACATGAACTGAATCTAAGAATACAAACAAAAATTTATTTAGATTTAAGAAAGTGTTCAAATTCACCCAATAACTCGACGTAAAACGAGTCTAAAAATAAAATAGATTTTTTTCAATGTAATAAATACGTTAGAAATCACCGTATACATCAATGTGAACAAATCTTATAATAAAATAAAATTTTGTTTTATGCAATAAAGTGATTCGAAGTACACAAATATGTTAATCCAAAACGAATGTAGTAATAAAAATGAAATTTTATTTTCAGTTGTTTATTTCAAGAAACTCATCGGATATTTCACAATATGGAAGAAATCTAAAAATAAAATTGAAATATATTTTAATTAAATATGTTGATTAAAACTAATCGTAAGTTTGGGTCCTATCCTGGTCGAACAATCAAAATTGGAATAGTAGTTTATTCATGAGATTAAATAAACGCTTTAGACAGATACACAGAAAATATGAAATTGAAAACTAAAAACAATTTATGAAATAACTTAGAATAAGTCACGAAACTATTGAGATGAGTAGGCATGTAAAAAGAAAAAGCATTCCATGTAACATTGAAGGAATTATAGAACTCATCAAGATGAGTTGGCGACTGAAATAAGAAGAAAAATAACTTTCTCACGAGATACGAAATGAAGATACGATACTGTTTAAAATCAGAGTACATTTCTGATTTGGTAATTATAATTGTCTTAGATTGTTGAAATAAAAGAAACTGATATGGTTGCAGTAGATAGCTTCGAGCAATAAAGTGCAGAAGTCAATAGAAAATTTTTCGATCAATATAATGTTTCAATAATATATTCCACACGTGAAAAAAAATTGCATAGAAAAAACATCTTTGCTTTTGAACATGTTCACAGTGAGCCCTATCATTGATGAAATGTTGTCTACGAATTATAGATATACTAGCGGGACCCCGTGCAAAATGCACGGTTGTTTTGTTTTTTTCATTTTTTTCCATGCAAGGATGTAGAGTTAGTAAGTGAATGTATTTCAATAGAATCAAAAGTCTGAAGTGCGGTTTTCAGAGAGTATCTGGAGGACCTTTATATTTTATGAACATATATCTACGATATTTACAAAACATATCTGGAATACAGAGAAAGTTTATGTACAGTATTTACAAAACCTATATACACTATTTACAAAACTTAATGAAAAACTATTTCTAGTTGTGTTTGTTTTACTATTTCCATTTTCTTGAATCATTTGCACGCGGATAGATGCTAGTGAACGGACTCGTGAGAAAGCAACGTAGAGTTGACCGTGACTGAATACTGGCTGTGTCAGTAGTAGCCCCAATCTATTGAACGTTTGTCCTTGGGATTTATTGATAGTCATAGCAAATGAGAGACAAATAGGAAACTCTTGCCTGTGCAGCTTAAAAGGCAAAAATGTATCGGAAGGTGTCAAAATAATCCTTGGTATGAGAGTTCAATGCCCTTTATTGGATCCTGTCGCAACTTCACAGTCGATCGTGTGATTATGCAAACATCTTGCAATAAGCCGAGTTCCGTTGCAAAGCCCTCGGTTGACATCTAAATTTCGAAGAAGCATCACAATTACACCGACCTTTAGGTTGAGCTTATGAGGCGGCATTCCTGATGGCGTAAGACTGTTCAGAAATTCTGTTGGATAATTGCTGACGTTTTCACCGTCCTCACATGCAACTTCATCCACACTTGTATACATTGTTTCAAAGCCGGGCAAGCGTTGAAGTACCTGTTCATTTACCATAAGAGCATGCTCGTTTTTGGGACACAGAATCACTTTATCACACAAATTCGGAATATCTTCCAGAGAGATATGCTTGCCGAATACTTCATCAGCTAAATTACCATCTGATATGCAGGCAGCAGGCAATTCGATTTCATCATTTTCCTTTGATGGTAGTTCGCCGTTACCAAGCTTAATGAGCCATTCTGAAAATTCCTCTTCACCTGGTCCTGTTCTCATGTTCTTGTTTAGACGAATAATCTTGAAGTAAGACCAGAGTTCCGAGCTCTTAAGACTTGCAGCAACCAGTTGGGATCTATTCGCGAATCGATCAACTGGAGAAACTTGACGAAAATCTCCTCCAAGCACCATGATTTTTCCCCCAAAAGACACATTGACATTCATTATATCTCTAAACAGAATATCGACGGCTTTGAGGGCATACGATGGAGTCATTGGTGCCTCGTTCCAAATCAAGACGTCAGCCTTTCTAATTACCGCGGCTTCCTTGGTGTTTGGTCGAATACTGGACGTAGACGTCTCCAAGAGAGGCACAGGAATCTTGAAATGACTATGTGCTGTTCTTCCTTCAGGCAATAAATTTGCAGCAATTCGTGTCCATGCAACTGTTAGAACATGGACACCTTGTCCTTTGAATAAACGACACAGTGTGTGGTACAATTGTGTTTTTCCTGTACCACCAAGTCCATCTATAAACAAACATGAAGCAGTAGTTATTGATCGTCTGTAGTACGCTTCCAGAATCTCATCCGCTGCCTGACGTTGGTTTTCATTCAAAGCGTCATACATTTGTTGTCCGACCGGAAGCTCTTCTTCCTTGTTGATGGTTTCTATTTGAATTGGACAAAAGATGGATAGTGGTGATATACCAAAGTCGGCAAAACTTTGTCCTTGCTCTGTCAACTTTGCTTCAGTTTCATAGAACGCCATTGCTTCTGCTGTTTCAGCGTCGAAGTTGCGCATGAAGTCCTTGACCATATTCGTTTTATATGAGTTCCAGAGATCGATGGTGTTTCTTGTACTACAGTGTAAAAGGATCATACAAAAAAGTGTTCGTAGTTGTGGTAGCATTTGAAACATTGCCGTTTCAGCCAGACATCTATCATGTTCACTGTCATCACATAGTAGACCTCGTCTTTTAGCAGCGTTTACAAATGTTTGACAGATTTCGTCATCTACTTTTTTCAGGTCCTCGAAGCTGCAAGCGCCTGTTGTATGTAACAATAACAGGCGAAGATGGTAGCGTTCTGTATCTCGAGAACAGATTGAATACATTCTGCCGATGACTCTTTCACCTTGTTGTCGACGTTTCCATTTGTTGTCTCGATCAAAAACAAAGTGATTTGGAATATCATCATAGAGATGTACTCTAGCATCTGAGTTGTCACGATTTAATTTGAACCATGCAGTCAGAGTAGTGTCTTTTGTAGCTGCTCGGTTTAACGCGTCTAGTTCATTTCCTTCAGCAAAATAGATGGGTTGCATATTCGAAAGATGAATGGCTAATCGGATAATGGAATGAGATATGTCATGTAATGAAAATTCAAAGAGTCTCCAAACGGCTTCTGGCGAACTCACATATGTTGCGTCGAGATGCGCTTTAATTTCATCCCATTCAAGTGTTGTTGAAGACATCACTCCATCTGGAGCAGATCGCACGAGATTGATATTAGCACAATCGTGCCCCTTATAAACGTACTTAAATAGATACTTGATGCTCTTCACGGTTGCACACACCTCCACATTAATATGAGCATCGTATTTCATTAGCAAGTATGGATTATACGGGACTGCCCATCGATTGTCAACCTCATACTTTCCCACCTTGACAATGATTCCATTATCTCGCCTTCGACATCGTGGATAGCCATCTTTATTTGGAGCTGTCTCATTTCGAAACTCCTTTGGAAAGTCTTTGGTGCACTTTCCATCTTCCATGCAAGGCGACTTCTTATTCAGAATTCCCCACGGTCCATGAATCATTTGACTCTTTACAATTTCATACAGTCGAGAACATTGCAGAGGATCTGGTATTTCACTGGATACGATTCGATCGATGTAGCTACTATCTCTTGGCTTGTTTTCGTTCGCCAAAATAACGAGCATATGGCAATGAGGCAAGCCTAGCTTTTGAAATTCAATTACAAAGACATGAGCTACTTTTCGTCCAAATATCTGTTTTCTGATGATATCATCAATCAACTCATTTAATTTGAGTTTGAAAACCCTTGCAATAAAATCAGGTCTATCAGAAGGGGTTTGACCAGGGAAAAGCTGCTCTTCAATTTCTTTCCATCTTGGATTACAGGTGAATGTGATGAATAGGTCAGGCTTTCCATATTTTCGGACGATTGCCATTGCATCTTGATAATTTTGTTGCATTGCTCTGGGACTTCCTTGAAAACTCGACGGAAGAATAACGATTCGTCCGGGCTTTAGTCCTTTTACAGTAGCTTCATTTGCTAAGTGGTCCATCAGACCTTTATACAGCTCTACTCGAAGAACCTTCTGATTTTGTCGATGAAATGCAAGGCGGTTTTGTTCAGTCTTAACGTAGACATCGACAATATATTACTGAAACAACTTTCCTGCGTAGTGAATAGCACTGAAAGTTTGACGAACAGGTAATCTATAGCTGTAAAATTGAAGCATCGATACTCTTTTTCGATTCCGAGATCGATCCACTTTTTCCAATTCTGGATGCCACCCTTCATCTTCACAAGGAAATAAGATTGGGTACGTCATTGGGTCGCAGTGGGCATGAAGGATAGAAATCGTTGGAAGGTTTTGGCCACGCGGGTGAACAGCCACATGCCGATATTTTGGAACATCTCCATTTTCGCCTACGAACACCGCTGCAACTTCATTCGCTGGTGGTAAATTGTATCGACGCTGGTTACGCGTTCGATTATTGATATCAAAAATCATACGAATTGAAAGAGCTGCTCTTTTCTGTCTCTTGGATCGACGGATCTCCTCTTGTTCTACTTCATGCATCATCTTGAAGGCGGCAGCAAACGGACTGATTCTCGTGATAATATCCCCCGAAGTTTTCATGATTGTTTCATTACAACGACCATTTCCAACGTTTCCCATTCTTTCTTGTAAAGCCAAAGCCGAGTCTAAGATATAGAGCTGTCTGTATTGAGTCTGTTGACCTGCTTCAGGATGAAGAGAACGAATCCGGTGATAGATCTGTCCGTGAATTCGAAAGCAGTAAGGTCCAATGCTCGTTGGTGTCGCAATCTGGGCCCCCAACGATGCAAATGCCATAGCACTATTATAATTTCGTATGTTTTAGCGGAAATTTCTCGTTTCCATATCTGCTCCTTCCAAAAGAACTTTCATTTTATCTGGATACGCCAGAGGCTTAGGAAGTTCGACGGATCCATAGTGACAACACTGCTTGTATTCATCCTTTCTTCCAGACGCAATCTCATTTTTGAAGTGTAAAGCGTCGCAGTATCGACACACACTATCCATTCCGCCGAGATAACTACCAGGAACAGCATCGTTTTCGACTGCAAGCGCAGGCAGAAAAGATCTCTGTTGTCGGCGATTGCGCTGACGTCGCGCATTGCTGAGTCGCTTTCTCTCTTTATCTTCTTGCGTTTCTTGCTGTCGTGTCAAACGCTGCCTTTGGGCCTCGGCACGCAATCGTTTTGATCTGACTTCAATGCTTTCTTTCGACCGTCGTTCTTGGATCCTTCTCGATATCCTAAGAACCTGCCCTCGACGAACAGTTGCTACATGGCTAACAGAAGGCTGCTGAGAAGTACTCAGATTTCCACATGAGTTCGTGGGAATCGTTGGTCCGTTGTTCCCATTTTCGGTATCCATCCAATCTATCGAAGTACCATGATTTGGACTATCACTCATCATTCAGGGAAAGGAAATGACTTTCCTGCAGCAATCACCTCTATATATACTCTTCCTCTGCTGAGCTCTGATTGGTCAGGTACCAACAACCAATCAGATTTCCACGTGCTCTTGTTCAGTCGAATCTATCTGATTCGTCGATGGAGGAGCCAATCAGACTTCGAGTCGAGTTTTCTCGCTTCCAGTCCGTGAAGGATCGAGGGATGCTACCAAGATTTTTGTAGAGCTCAAAATTCTGTGTAATTATGCTCACGGAACCCTAATGCTCACGTGCACTATAAAAGAGAAAAATCATCCTCAATTAACCCTTAACATTTAACCTTGAACCCTTAAGTTTTAACTTTTGACGGTTTGTGTTTGTTGTTGACCTTTGACCTGAATTCTGATTGGCTGAAAAAATGTATCAATGGGAGACTGACTAGTGGCGCCATCTTCCTTAATTCTGATTGGCTAAAAAATTGACCAATGGGAGAGGGACCGGACGCGACACTGAACTTTAGTATATAGATCTAACATGTGCTATTGTTTAGTTTTTGGTTGCATCCATATGCTTTGGCGGACTGCTTTATGTGGAAAGAATGTGTTAGTAACGATAAAGCTGTTAAATAGACAGCAATCAACTAGTCGACGACCGTTTTGAATTTGTTTGTCAATAGCATGTTTACCAACAGTTCCTCCGGCTGTATTGGCCTGTTCTACTCCAACACGCATTCAAATCACCCATTATCATAATCATATCACTGTTATGAGTTTTATCTATTGTTGCTTGTAGAGTTTTATAGAACTCGTCACATGTTTCAATATCATTTTTTACTCCATTCGAGGGATTTATAGGCGCATTAACAGCTATGATGGTGATTGGTACAGGTCGACACTCAATACGGACAGTTACAATTCTTGAACTCACTGCTTCCCATTGAGAACCTGAGTTCTTCCAAGCACAAGTGGCTTCAGGATCCAAACATACGGCTGCGTCGTGTGTAGATTTTGATAATAATTGTGAAGGTAAACCTGAATATATGAACGTATATCCATTTACCACACAAACACCCGAATCCAGTATTTTTGTTTCAGCCAGTGCCGCCACCTGAATTTGATACCGTTTTAACTGACGAACAATGAGTTCGCGTTTATTGACCCGATAACACGACCTGACATTCCATGATCCAAATAGTGTTACTCTGATTGTAGTAACAAGTTTGGTTTGTTCATTTTCTGCAGTTAGATATTGTTTAACGTCCTATACTCGGGTGGCTAGCCTAAGCTATTCGTTTAAACAAGGCAATGCACCACATAGCAGCTATATTAACTAAAAATAGATTATCTTTGCTTATTCTCAAATTTTTCGATGACTGAAATGCAAACCACTTTAACATTTTTCATGATTTTATGCAGTTCTGATTTGGATTTGATGAATGAGTATTTTCGTGATTTTCTTTGTCATAGACACAAACTATTCAAAAATATTTTGATTATTCAAGCATAAGCAGCAGAGAAAGTAGGGTAAAATATGGAGAAAATGAGTCTCAAGACAACTATGCTGTTGAATTGAATGAAAAAAAAACTTGTATTTTGCTTCAGGTAATAACAAACAGGCAAGCAATAAGCCAAGAAGAAATCCAACAGTCTACAGATAAGTTTGTATCGACCGTGCACAAACTTTTGCCGAAATATAATCCCGATAATGTGATTAATACCGATCAATTCGGCATTCGAGATGAACTATATTCAACTCGTACACTTTCGTGCAAAGGAGAAAAAATTATTGTATAATCTGTTCGTTCGAAAAATGCTACTATGCACTCATTTACGATAGAGCCAACTATTAGTCTTAATGGCAAACTTATTGAACCACTCTTTATTTGTTTGGGAGAACCAACTGGTTACTTGAGCGAAAACATTGAAGTAAGTTGTTTGCATATGTTGTTTTTCTCCTACACGACTGTAATTCAAAAACCACATCCTCATAGTTGTTACATATTTCAGGCTCGTCTATTCAAAGCTCCGAATGTTGTTGTAGGATGTAGTAAGAGTCAGAAAAACTTACAACTAGTCTCGTCAAATATTGCCGAGATTGTGTCTTGCTTCCTTTTGCATCTTCTCATCGTACTCTACTGATTTCTGATTCTTGGACTGGGCAAGGTAACAATACAGGCGTTTATGATAATATAAGAGACCTTTGCCAACTTGAAATACCAAAACATACAACTAATCAAATTCAGTCTCTCGACGTGTATTACAATAATCAACACAACTCAAGCAGACAAACTTTTGAGAAAACGCGTTTAAACGCACAGAAATCGCTTTAAAATCGGCAAAAGTGGACGTTTTTGGCTCACACTCGCGGTTCCCGACTTTGAGCCAAAAACACCCATTTTTCGAACAAGAAACGCGTGTACACGCATACAAAAAAGAGAAAAGTGGTCGTTTTTTCACACCTGAGATGGATGATAATGATTATAGCCACGTTTCTCGAGTTGGAAAATCACGACAACTGTTTTCTCTCTTTTGTGTGCGTGTACATGCGTTTCTTGTTCGAAAACGCGTTTAAACGCATAAAAAGGCCGAAAAATGGGTGTTTTTGGCTCAAAGTCGGGAATCGCGAGTGTGAACCAAAAACGTCCACTTTTGCCGATTTTAAAGCGATTTCTGTGCGTTTAAACGCGTTTTCTCAAAAGTTTGTCTGATTGGGTAGGCAAGACGAATGTAGGTTTTTTATAATTTACTTCAAGAAAATTTTCGTTGATTAAATTAATACTAGAAAGATGAGTATTCTCAAATACGTACAACAAAAACGAAGAATATTTGTTGTTTACTGTTTTAAACAAGGATCTATTTAGCTCTATAGAACATTTTAACATTGACCTATGTCGCCTCTTTTTTAGCAACTGCGCCGCAGTTACGCGCAGAGCCAATTTTACGTCGCAGTTATGCATAACTACGCGGCATTCATCGTAGCGAAGGTCTCTATAAGAAACTACGCTTACTGCGACGCAGACCAACGTAACTGCGTCCGAGTGATCACATCGTACGATCCGTTGTAACGGCAACTGACCAATTATAAAT